GCCAAAAGGCCAATAAATGCACTCTCCGCTAGCCTAACCTACCTAAGTACAATAAAAGCGCGCTTCGCGCGCCTTGAATTGAAAAAAAAAAAAAAACTAACCTAACCTCGCCACGCCCGGGCAGCTCATTTACTGGCCATTTTCCTTGTTTCTGGCCAGGAGTCGACCCGGGCTGCAGCGCGTCGAGGAGGTGGACTTGACCAGGCCTGAACGCGTGCAATCCGGGAAACCAAGACCCGTAAAGCAGCACCGAGTTCTGAACTCTCGCACGACATGCGATGCCGACAGCCGAGTGGCGAGCGCCCTGGGGTGTGGTCTGGGAACCCTCGGCCCAGGGATCGATTCATGGTCGGGGCGAACATTTTGTTGTTGTTTTTTTGGCAAGGATGGGGGGGGGGGGCTGCTGAGTAGGCGGTCAAGTCCACCTCTCATGTCGGCTGGTCTATCGTCCGAACCCTTGGTCCCCGCGCCGCAAACTACTTAATAGGAAAAAATGCGCCTCGATCAGTATTCGAACTCACGACCATCCGAGTCCTGGGCGCGCGCTGTACCAACCGAGCCAATGAGGCTTTTGTATATAAGAAGCTTATCTGCGCCTAGGCTGACACCCCGAAACATTTGGCTGGCAGAGGGGCAAAAGGGTTCCGTCGACTAGATTCGAACCAGCGACTGTTTGCGTACCGGCCCATCACATCAGGTGTCGCACGGCTGTAAAGTCATGGCCGGCGGGGCGCGTAAAATATGACCCGACTGAGATTCGAACCAGCGACCAGGTCCATATCAGGCCCGGACGCTACCTACATGGCCACGACGGGACGATACAGATCACAAATTTTGGCGGCATCCACATCTCAGCTGTGACTGACGCCCGAAGACACTTGGCCAGCAGAGCAGGAAAAATGATCGCGAACGGGATTCCAACTACCGACCATCCCCACGGTCTGCCAACGATCCCGCTTTAACACGCTCGGCTACCAGCTTGCTCCTGCGGGGCTGCAGTCTGAGCCCGGTCCTGCCTAACGGGGGACAACGAGCGACAAAGAAAAAATTTGCCCCGCCCGCGGGAGTTGATCTCAGGGCCGACAGTTTTGGTTCGGATGAAGCTGCATGCGGTCATGTCGACTGTAGCTACAACTGTTTAACTACAAAAGGGTCGTGTGGCTGGTGGCGTCGGACATCGTATATTGCCGCCATTTGTGGCCACAGTTTTGTGTCCATGAACAGGGACGTGTCTACTATCACTTGTCGCCGCGACATGAGTTGTCGCTTGGACGCGGGCGAGGTAGGCCACGGCTTCTCTCTAAGGTGTCTGTCGTGACGGGGACACGGTGTAGAGAGATATCTCTCTACACCGTGGACGAGGACTTTGGGTTTAGGCTCCTTTTGACCCCAGGCTCATAAATCCTTTCTAAAGCTAAGATGTGACGCCGTGTCAATCTAGGCGTGGGTCGATGATTGTCGCTGAAATCGTGTCTGGAGGGTAGGCAATGCTTTCCTGAATCGGACCCCCGCGTCCTCCTGTCCCGCCGAGAGCTTGGACAAGGCGAGAGCAGAGCCTCGGAGAGGCATTGATCTTTCGTTTTCGCTTTAGTTCTTAGCGCTGTTTAATTCTGGTTGATATTCTAGCATTTGCGGAAGTAATGAATTCGTCTATAGACGGTTCATTTTAAGCTGACTCGGGCACTGTCGGCTACAAACAGGGACGTCTTGAAGCGATGCCATCAGATGTTTGACATCCGGTAGCTATACCCCACGGGGCATGTTGCACTGGCCCCGCCGATATCCCTCGCTGAGCCATCCGGGGGGTATATCCTACCCCTAAAAACGGAAATCCCGGAAATCCCCATGCGCCACACAGTAGACGGTCTTAGATCGGAAATATTAAGGCAAGGGAGGTTACTTTCAGAAAAAATAAAAATTAAACAGGAGTACTAGTAAAAATGTATTTATTATCTTAACCATGTGGCACTTCCGTGGGTTCTGCAATATAGTACAAATATTTAGCTAAAGCCACTCACATTAATTGGTGTCCCGCCTCAAATTCCATGATTTGCTCAAACAATTGAATCCCCATCTGCCGTACTGATTTGACACCGGGTTTAAACGACATTCGAAACCAATTTCTAGAACGGTTAAAAAGTTAATAGGAGATGTCACATTTCAACATTGAAAAGTTTGTAACCTGTGGATGGAACGCACGCTGTATTGTCGATCCTCTGAAATCCGAACAATGAGCAAGCTTCATATGTGTGGCGTGCTGGGCCCTCCGCTCTGCCCCCGCCCGTCAATACGTCGCCGAGGTGCGCGCTGCGCGACCCGGGACAGTTGGTCCGAACTGAACTAGATCCACTATCAACGCTACGAGGCCACACGGCTCATACTTCTAAAGGAAAACAGTTTCGGGACACGAAGTCTTTCCCTCTTCGCTGGAGAGGTGTGTATTGGTCACTCTCATGGCGAGAAGTCCAGTCTGGTGATGGAGTGGGGAGCGGTTCTGGAAGACATGTTGGTGACACCGCGCCGACGAGAAGGTGCCGCCGCACGCTAGCACGCCGTTGTTGAGCACGTGCTCGTGACGTGTTTGTGACCACCGCGTGACGTGCTCACGTCGTGCCGACTGATGGTCGCCTTACTCGCTCACGTCCGCGTCGCTGTACACCCAGCTGTGCGGTGAGGTGCTGCGACTCCTCGGCCTGGCGGTCAGAAATAAACTCCGGTCAGAGATCGTTCAGGGATCGTGATGCACCCAACAATGTCCAGGCTAAGACATGCCAGTAGGTTGAGTGTCCTATGCACTGGCTGCAGGGGCTCCAGGCTGCAGGCGCGGGGCGGGTGGTAGGGGGTCTGTCAGCTGCCCCACCACTCCCCCGCCTCGCCCCGCGCCTGCAGCCCCCGGAGTCAGTACATAGGCAACCCAACGTACTGTCATGTCTTAGACTGGACAACCGGTACACTCAACAAGCAAGATCACGGTGTGGGTCCAGTAGTATAGCGTGCTACTCTCGAGCACGGAGGCGGAGGAGGCTGCTGGCCTCTTGGCTGGCGTACTCACCCCCTGGGCGGCGAGGTGACGCTGGCGACGTGGATCTGGTCCTGGGGGTGGCGGCCTACGCTGGCCAGCCGGCCGCGCTGGCGCAGGTCGCAGGGCGTGTTGGTCCCGCTGGGGGCGCCGCTGGGCGCGCCGCTGGCCGTGCCGCTGCCTGGCCAGCCCTGGCCCAGGCACTGCTGCGGGTGCACGGGCAGCGGCGGCAGCGCCATGCCGGCCAGCGACAGCGGCGCGCCGAGCGGCGGCAGCGCCTCCACGGACAGCGACAGCGCCGACGGGTCGTTCACCCCGTTGGCCTTGAGGCGGCGCTGGGCGGCGATGGTCGCGCGCAGCGTCTTGCGTTTCTGCGGACAAGACGAGGCGTTTAGAGATAGAGACTGACGAGGGCCGAGATAGAGAAAGACGGAAATATGAAGGGGATAGGAGAGAGAGAGGGTGCAAATGTGACGCTACGGTCTAGCTTTGTGAGTCGGTGTGTGAGTAGTAGTTGTGGTGGGTGGCGCGTTGTGGAGCGGGGGTGCGGCTAACATTCCACAGAAAACAACATAGAGTGTGTTTGATCTCACGTGTAATAATTATTGTGTCCTACTGCACACGCGAACGCACAAACTCACCTGCACCTCCGCTGCACATCCCCTCTGTTTGCGGGAATAACAGACCAGTGAGTTAAAGAGCTGTGATGTCACTTGTAAGAAATGTCACGGAAAACCTACAGTTTTTCCTTTGTCGACCCGATTCTGACTAAATGCAAAGTCCAACCCGCGCATGGTTATCTTGAATTTCTTAGAAATGTTTGTATGTGTCAGTATGTGTTCCCAGTTCCCAGTACGACGGCCTGCCCGAGGCTACAGTCCCTAGACACCCACCTCGATGGCGCCCCTCCACTTGTCGGCCGCGTGCCGGGCGAGCTCCAGCCGCTTCTGCTTGCGCGTCTGGTGCTTCTTGTAGACCATCTCGATGAGGATGAGCACGACGCCGAAGGCTATGCCGCCCGCCACCAGGATGAAGACGCCCGCCATGTTCTTGAGGCCGAGCGTGTTGGGCGTCTTCTCGTTCTGCTCGCACTGCGCCAGGTTCAGGTTGCCCTGCAGGATCCACTTGTTGTCGAGGCTCTCCATGAAGCCGCCTGCGGAACAAAGGATGACAGTTAAAATAAGTCACATACCCCTCGTCTTCCAAAGTAGGTCACAAGCAGTCCCGTTGACATCGTTTTGATATCCTGGATCCTGGCGAATTAAGAACGGGCGCTGGGAGGGCGCCGGGTGGGGCAGGCCGGCCGGCAGGCAGGGCTGTCATGCGGGACTGCCTACCTTCGAGACGGCGGGCGCTCTCACCCCCCGCGCCCGGCTGGGCGACACCCACTCCACTACTCACTCTCGTGGAAGTCGAGGATGGCCAGCGTGACGGCGTCCGCCCAGGGTGACCCTTTCTGCAGCCCGATGCCGTAGCCCGAGCGGCCGAACAGCTCGCCGGCGGTGACCAGCTCGCAGTCCTGCGCCGCCTCGAAGTCCAGCCGCGAGCTGTCCCAGATGAACGCCATCAGCTTCCTATGTGCAAAGAGGGGTGACGTTTTATTTTGGTTATAATAT